TTTTTTTTTTTTTTTTTGTTCTAGTTCTTAGAATTATACCAAGTAGAGATGCATTTAGATTTACAAGTAGCGTCTTAAAATGTGGATAAGAGTGTTCAGGGTCTTATCCCACATTACTACGAATTGGCTAAATCTGATTTCTTTTCTTAGTTGTTGTCAACAAGGAGGGATTGGAGATGAAGAGATAATACAGAGGAAATGGATTACAGTAGTTCTGGGGGGGGGGGCCTACTGTCCATCTACACTAGATCCCGGGAGTTTCTAGGAGGTTAGAGAGGAATACAAAATGGAGGTTGGGGAGTGGCTATTGAAGATCAAATTTCATTATTTCAAAAATTTTTATAAGTTTGGCCCTGCACATAGAAAATAGAGAGGAACTTTTCTTTTTCTTTCCTGCAATCCTTGACCCTCTCTGAGGACCTAGAATTCAAGTCAAAACTGTGATACTTAAATTCTGCCTTATTAGCACATCAGATTTTCCACATTAGGTTGACATTGGTTTGTGTGGGTCAGCCCATTTTATAATGGGAAAGCCACTATTTTTTCAAATAACTAATTTATGGTCTTTCAGAATGCCCCCTTTTGTAAGTTAGGGACTGTCTGCATTTATTTTGTTTTATTTTGGTTTTGGTTTATTTTATTATTTTTTTGAGTTTATTAATTTTTTAGTAATCTCTATACCCAGTGTGGGGCTCAAACTCACGACTCACATAGAGTCACATGCTCTTCCAACTGAGCCAGCCAGGCGCCCCAGTTTGTTTATTTTAGTTTTTGATATGTTTTTCCTTTTTAAGTGTTGTAGAGTGCTTGTTCTATAAATTCTTCTCCAGTGGGTGGGCCTAATATCCCAGGAGTTTGGCAGGGGAAAAGCAGCAATCTAAGCTGGAAGCTTCCTGGATTGCTCTAAAACAAAAGTGAAATCATCCTTGTCCTTGTCCTGATTCCTGATTTCTTTATTGTTTTTCCCTTGTCTGCTCATCAGCCTCAGTGCTTAGAGAGATGTCCTGGAAACTAGGAACTTTGGACTGGGAAAAAGCAAATAATCTCCTGGTGCCCTGTATAAAGTTCAGAGCAATCTGGTCAGTCTGATTGGGGGATTGACCTCTCTGCACTGAAGTGTTGGGCTTGTCCCAGGAGCAATAGAGCAGAAGTCAGTACAAAAAGTTGAAAATATTAACCAAGATATAACTACAAAAGTGAGTTTGATTCCTAGCTGTTACTTTCCAGTTGTGTGAAATTGGATAATTCACTTCCCCTTTCTTGGCTTCAGATTACTTCTCTTCAGAATGAGAGGAGAGTTGGATTTGCTCAGTGGTTCTCAAATTTGGCCGGTCTTCAAAATACCCTGGACAGCTTTTCTTCTGAATATATCCATCCTGGGATCTTAACCTTGGCCTACTGAGTCAGAATCTATAGAATCCCTGTGAATATATTTTTAACAAGTTTTTCAAATGACTGGATTCTATGATCTCTGAAGTTGCTTTCTTTACCACTGATTATTTGAGTTCCACAGTTGAGAGTACGTCTCAACATGTTAAGTATTTTTAGAAAAGGAGGATTCATAATCTTGATCATAAGAAAGTATTCAGGTAATGAGTCTTCAGGTTATGTCATCATCATCATATTGTTACAGACAATTTGGGCACTGCAAGTACAGTCCAGCTGTTGCAGGAGGTGGCGAGCCGGTTCAGCAAGCTGTGTTACCTAATTGGTCAGCATGGAACCTCACTGAGCAGCTTCCTTCATGGGATAAAGGAAGCCAGGAGTTTGGTCATTCTGAAGCATGCAAGTCTCTTCTTGGATAGTTATACAGAGCAAGTATCCAGTCCCGTGTCATGTTCAATCTCTGCAGGGTTATTCTGCCAAGGAGAACAGCTCCTTAATCAGAAGAGACTAGATTAGGGACAGTGATATAAGGTAATAGAAATTGCAAAGCAGTATTTTAATCTTAAGCCAACTATAGTTCTGCATTGCTAAAATTTTAGTTTTCTTTAAGAGGAAAGAGTCTTAAAAATAATTATATTTCCTTCTACAGTTTAGCAAAATGATTGATAGTCTACTTAATTTACATAAAATATACTATAATAAATATGGTTCTTTAGAGAACAGTGTTGCTTACTTAAGTAAATTATGCTAAAATTAGAGGAAATAAGTAACTGAACAATTATTTTAAGAACAACTGCTAATGGTAAATATCGACTGGTTCCAATGTCTGTTTTTTATTGTTGTGTAAATGGAGGATTTAAAGACCATACTATCTTCAAAATAAAGATATTTTCTTAATAAAATCTAGGATAGTTATCCAAAGTTCTTTTCATGTTTTTCAAGTAAAATATACCAAATGTGTTTGAAAATTTAAATATTTCTCACTTTTTCTTAATTTGTATATTGACATTATGACGTAAGGCATAATTTGTTATTTTAATGTGCATTAAAATAACATTAATGCTTTGATCTGAAGTGAAAATTTTATTCTTTATTAATACCTCATCCATCTAGCAAATATCGACTGAGTACCCACTAAGTACCAGGTGCTGTGTAGAGCTCTGAGATCATGCAGCCACAGTGCAGAGCCAGTGAAAAGGAGTTAATGTTCTATTGGTGTTTTGTTGAAGTTATTTTTAATATAAGTAAAGTTTGTTTATTATTGAAAACTGTATAAATAAAGATAGTCAAAAAGATGTTTAAAGTTGCCCGTAATCTGATCACCAGAAATAGCCATTATTAATAATCTTAGTATATTTCCTTTCGCATTTATGCATGTATATACAGATAGATTAGATGCATGTGATTTTAATTCTAAACGAAATTGAATGTATTTGAAGCTATTGTCTGAGAGGAAATACCCAAGTTGAAGCCTTTTAACTCATTGTCTATCAGACATGAAAAATACATAATTTGATACCAATTTACTTTTTTAAACAAGATTTTGTTTGTGTGAAGCTTTCAGCTTTTACTAGTATAGTTCTTTTTTATCTTATTTATCTCATAATCTTTTTTACTTTTGTTCTCTGATACTTCAGGACCTATAATTAGAAATGCTTTTTTTTTTTTATACCTTGGACTATTTTTTTTAACACAATTTATTCATATTGATGGGACAAGTAAAAAAATCCTGATTTGTTTATGAATTTTGAAAATAATTTTTAATTGTGGTAAAATACATGTAACATCAAATTTACCATCGGGACCATTTTATTTATTTTTGTTTTATTTATTTTTAATGTTTATTTTTGAGAGCGAGAGAGAGTGAGTGCGGGAAAGGGGCAGAGAGAGAGGGAGACAGAGGATCGGAAGCAGGCTCTGTGCTCAGAGCAGAGAGCCCGATGTGGAGTTTGAACTCACAAACCTGAGCTGAAGTAAGATGCTTAACCAACTGAGCCACCCAGGTGCCCTAGTAGTACCATTTTTAAGTGTACAGTACCATGGGCTTTTTTTTTCCAGTAGGCTCCATGCCCAATGTGGGACTTGAGCTCACAACCCTGAGATCAAGATCTGAGATCAAGGGTTGGATGCTCCACCAACTGAGTCACGCAGGCACCCACTTTGGGCTGTTTTTAATAGGAATTTACCCTCTTTCTGAAAGTCAGTTGATTCCATTTTGCCATCCTGGGAGTATGGTAGAAGTATACACAACTCAAAACAATATATCAAGACATTCTCTAGCAATTGATCAAAACTTAACCGACATTTTCTAAGTTTCACTCAAGCTTTTTTAACACATTTTTTTCTTCTCTATTATTTCTGAAGACTTAATTTTGACTAAAATCCAACAGTTTAAATCATATTTTCTCAAGTTTGTTAAGTTACCAAAGTAAAATCTACCAAACAAATTCTAGGATCTTCTGCATAATTTAGGTGTATTTTAAATTTATAATTTATAGTAATATCTTTACTAAAATGGCTTTTCCCTCTGCCTGAGTATTGTGATTATCACATAACCTGCCCTTCTTTTCAGTCCTTTACAGTTCATGAATGTTGACATCACAAAAGTACTGAAACTTATTGGTGAGATACCAAAAAGTATCTGCTCCAGTTGCTTGTTTGAAAATTCTGAAGAACAAATTTACATTTTAATGCTAACATATGTGTGTTTTCTCTTTTGCTCAAGGTATTGCACATCTATTACAAATTTCCTGGTTATGGGAGGATTCCAGCTTCTTGCTAAGCCTGCCATGTAAGCAAACACTTACCTTCCCATTATTATTCTAACAACCAAAGATCATATTTTATTGTGTTCTGTGTTTTTGAGTGCCTGGGAAAAGCTTTGACTTCGTCATTTTACCAAATGAATCAAAATGTAGACTTTCACTGACTCTTAAAAGGATAGCTCCTGATTATCATTGGAAGTAGTGTAGTACTGAAAAAACTACATGGTCTGGGTCCTTCTTTAGTGCTACCACTTATTATCCCTGAGATGTTAGACAACTCTTTTCACCAAATTGAGCATAATTTTTTTCATCTGAAAGAAGGGAATGTTTTTGCTCTGGTAAGGAACAAATAACGTATGTGATGGTGTAGAGAAAAACGCAAAGTGTTGCACAGATAGAAAGATTCTGCGTTTAGTTTCTGGATAATAAATATAAAAGCACCTTACATGAATCTAATCATTCTGAACTATGTAGATTCTCAACAAGTGTTGACCTATAGACAAAAGCAAGTTTAAAAAATTCACATGTATTTTAATAATAAACATATCAAATATATACTCACAACCCAGATTTCATAGACGTTAATATTTTGCCATGTTTGCTTTTGATTTTATATCCTAATAGAGTAATAACATCCTACGATCATTTCTGATCTTAAAGAGGATAGTTTTAGCATTTCTTCATTAAAGATGATTGCCTTAGGTTTTTGGTAAATATCATTTATAGGGTTAAAAGATTCCCTTCTTTAAGAAAAAAAAATGGCTCCCTCTATTCCTGAAAGTTGAAGAGCAATTGATTTTTTTAACGGTAAATATCCTTGAGTTCTCAAGATAAATTCAGTGGCCTGTTTGTATTAGTTTTTCAGTACGTTACTGACATTTGCTGATATTTAAAATTTTTGCAACTATGTGAATGTGAGGTTTTTCTTCTCTTCTGAACTTGCTCAGTTTGGGTAAGAAGGTTGCACTAGCAATTACAAAATGAGTGTGGGAACTTTATTTTCTGGAATAGTTTGCATGAGATAGGGAATATCTGTACTTTCAGATTTTGTGGAATTCATCTATGAAAAGATAGGGCTTTCATGGGGGCATTTTTTTTTTTTTTTTGATGTTTATTTATTTTTGAGAGAGAGAAAGAGGGAGACATAGACTCCGAAGCAGGCTCCAGGCTCTGAGCTGTCAGCACAGAGCCTGATGCGGGGCTTGAACACACGAACCCTGAGATCATGACCAGAGCCGAAGTCGGATGCTTAACCAACTGAGCCACCCAGGTGCCCCTTTGGGGGCATTTCTGTAGGGGATTTTTAAACTACCAGTTTAATTTCTTTCATGATTAGATCTGTTCAGGTGTTTATTTCTTTTTGTGGCTTTAATTATTTGTACTTTTCTGGAAAATTGTTTATTGCATCCAAGTTTTCCAATTTATTGGCGTAATATTTCTTAAGATTATTTTCACCTCCATAATAAATGTAGTTGTTTTTCATTCCTCTTATTTGAGCCTTTTATCTTTTTATCTTAGTTGATTTTGTCAATAGTTTACCTTTTTTAAATCTTCTTTCCAAAGATTAAGCTTTAGTTTTTCCATTCTTTTTCATTAATTTTTGCCTCTTATTTCCTTCTTCTTTCTTTGTGTTCTCCTGTTAATATCTCCCAACTTTGAGTTTAGCATTTAGTTCATTAATTTTCCAATCCTTTAATTTTTCTGATGTACTCATCCAAGGCCATAAATTTCCCTCCAAGTGTTGCTTTGGCTGTATCTTAAAGTTTTGTTTTTATAGTCATTAAATTATAAATGTATTTCTAATTTCTGTCGTGATTTTTTCTTTGATTTATGTCATGTGCTCATTGATTTCTTTGACTTATGTCATGTGCTCATTCATTTCCAAAATAAGGATTTGGCCTTCATTTTTTTAATGACAAGTTAGTGTCATATTTTAACCTTATGTAGTAACTTTTAAATCTGTGATCTTGATATTTTGTTTTATATTAATATAATGACACCAATTTCTATTCTATTTTAACCTGCCTATATTGTATTGTAGTTTTTTTGTGTGTGTTTCTTATAAATAGTAAATTGGTGGACTTACTGCTTTGTTGTTTTTTTTTTAATCTGAGAGCTTCTGGCTTTTAACTGACAAGTTTACATTTGTTACAATTTCCAATTTTACATTTATAATCTGTACATTATAATGACTAAAAAAAAGCTTTTTTAACCTTTAGTGTTGGTGAAATGGTGAATCTTGGCCAAAAACGTAGGGGAAAATGACTGCAGTCAAACCAATAATTAAATGAAGAAAAAAAAAGGAATGGTTATTTTTGCAAATAGTAATGCTTGAGGAAAAGATTTTAGTTAATGCAAAAATAGGTGACTTGTGGTGGTTTAAAAATGGGGTTTTCTTGCCTACTTGAGGGACTCTGGTAGTTACTGACCCTGGTGCCTTATTTTGCCTTATTTTATTTTTTATTAACCTTCCTCTACTATTTCAGAATTCAGTTCACAGTACTCAGGAGTTGACCTGACTCATTGTCAGAGCAGCTAAAGCAGATGATGTAAATGAAAGCCTCTTGCCAGAGCCTAGACAGGTGGAAAGCAATTGATGAACAATGGGTGACTTTAAGCTGTGGAAGCAAATATGAAGTCTGAATTTGGGCAGCATTTCCCAAACTGTGGTTCATGAACCCCAGGGTTTTACGTATTTAAAGGCAGTAATAACATCTTTTTACAACTTCTACTTACAAAGTCAGTATTTTAAATTATTTTAAAGTATTTCTTTAAAAAAAGAACTTCTAGAGCATAGCTGGTGAGCCTACATGGCAGTTAGTGGGTCTTGGATATTGATACTCAGACTCCCATCATTAAGCTGGTTTATCATCTAGCTACTTAATTCATGCTAGTCTGATGGTTTGATCATCATGTAGGTTTAAAAAAAATTATCATTTTAAACATTCCTAAGTGTATGGTTCTGTGGCACCAAGAACATTCCTGTTGTATAAACAATTACCACACTATACACAAAACTTTTAAAAACCACCCCAGCAAAAACACTGTCTGTATCCATTAAGCAACAACTTCTCCCCTGCCCCCCAGCTCCTGGTAACCTCTATTTTACTTCTTGTCTTTATGAGTTTGCCTATCCTAGGTAGGATACTCATGTAAGTGAAATCATGTAGTATTTGTCGTCCTGTGTCTGGTTTATTTCATTAAGCATAATGTTTTCAAGGTCTGTCTATGTAGCATATACCAAAAGTCATTACATTGCATGGCTGAATGATATTCCATTATATACATATACCACATTTTGTTTATCCATTCATCTGTTGATGGACACTTGGATTGTTTCTGCCTTTACTATATTTATTTTTTGAGTAACAGTTACAAACCTAGCCTTGTAAAGGAAAAGCAGTATTGCCATTATTAGATTAAAACTCCCAAGAGAGGATAAGCTAAACAGTCTCTGGTTTCCTGAGAGCATACCTAGGCTCTTTTGGGGAAGGTCTACAGGCAAGTGCATGAGTGAGTGATGAAGAGTACATGAGTGAGTGCTGACAAGTAATAGGACTTAAAAGAGTTGGAACATTTCTGGTCTAGTACTGTGCATCCAGAAGAAATGTGGTCATAGTGAGTATGTGTTCAACATGTACTGCTTCCATCTCTCAGGAGCACGTTAAAGCAGAACACTTCTGTGGGGTTAAATGAGTGTCCTCAGCTGATCTCAGCAGCAGAACATGGAGGAGGAAGTAGGAACATCCACACAAGCCAAATGTAAATAAAAATCTGGGTCATGTTCCCCAGGGCACTCTCTCTCAGATCTCTTAACTGCACTATAAAACGATCCAATTTGTGCTATTGAACTTTTGAGTACCTGGAAATTATTGCATATTTTCCCTTCAAAGATAATATTTCATAATTTCTGAGTTAAACATTTCTTTTTTCTATAGTTCTCTAAGGGATTATAAAATGTTTCATTTTTGCCTCATAGTCTTTTGTGGCATTGTCTTGTTTGAAGCCTTATAGGTAAGAATTTTGTAGTATAATGCTTGTAAAGCACTCAAGGGTAGTACCTGGCATATAATTATTGCTTACTAAGGGGCAGATAATAATTATTATTCTGTCCCACCAACTCTTACTTCTTTCACATCTTTTTTTCTTCTTTCACATCTTTTCAAGTATTTTGGTCTGATGAACATAGTCTCAGTGGGTTACTGATCACCATTAAAATTTGCAATAAAATTTTAATAATGAACTTATGTAAAACAGTGTAAAAACAAAATAAATGTTGGCTTCAGTTTGAAATCCTTTTGAAGATCTCAGCATTGAAATCTTCACACAGAATATGCTTTACTACTTCCTGTTAATTGTAGTACTGGTACTTATAGCTTTTTATTATTCTTTTGTAATAAACTCTTATTAGGTGAAGGAAAAGAAAAGAAGAAATTAGAAGTATTTTAATATTACATGCCAGCTGTGTTAGAGCGAAGAGCTTTATTTTTCCTCCAGATTTCTGTTTAATACAACTGATTAGAGCAGTTAGTATTGCCATTTATTGCTGTGACTTTTGGCTTGGAAATTAACAGGTAATGAATGGTGTCAGCTGGTCTCCAATTATTCCCTGAAGCTGTGGGATGCATGATTCATTCCTAGAACTTAGTCACAGTTTGGGATTAAGCATCTCTATTATAGAGTTACTATTGCTACCATATGCTACTTTTTATATGCAAAAATCCTCTATTTTATAGGCAGGAAAATTCTTTTAATTATATCTGTCTTATTTCATTGTATTTATATTCTGCTTTCATAGCACCTAAAAATGTGCATTCTGAAAAAAGTAGTCATCTAGTGAAAAATGTCTATTCAATATCATGCATTTGTCAAACCAAAAGATTAATTAAATCTCTTTTTTTTTTTCTCTACCTCCAGTGATTTCCTAAATAAAAACCAGGAGCTGTTACAAGATTTATCAGAAGTAAATGATGAAAACACTCAATTGATGGAAATACTGAATTCTCTGTTTTTCCTGCCAATCAGACGACTTCATAATTATGCAAAAGTTTTGCTAAAGCTTGCTACTTGTTTTGAAGTGGTAAGATCCCATAAATATCCGATTTGAATACTTGGGGAGGCAAGGATCAGAGTTGCTTGTTTGGTTTATGCTACCCTAGCATCTCCAACTCCACTAACTTAATATTTATATGTGTCTAATTAAATTTATTTTTCTTTAAGAAAATGAAAGAAGAAAGTTAGACTATAGGTAAATCTAGTTCTCTTTGCTGTGGATTTAGTTTCTTCTCAGGACCTTATCAAGATTAATTGTATTCATTTTGTGAAACTGTTTCTAAAGTTGAGACCCAATTATGCTACTCACCCAATAGTTGTCAGAGTGTATACTAAGTATGAGTTACACAGAACTCTTTAAAAGGCCTTCTGTATAATGACATACCTGTAAGGCAGCCGAGTTACCACCTGGCCAGGACTCAAGATAGTTCCATGCTAGGTATTTGAGTTACCTTAGCATATGCTATGAGAAATCACAGTGTTACAGGATTTTCTCAAATGGTCTACTTTCTGTATAAAATTAGTTGGGTGGAGTTCTAGGAAATTAGTACCACTGTAGGTTATGGATGTATGTTAAAGCTGGTCCTGAGACATTCACCTTTGAAATTGTACTAAAATGTGTAATTTCATTTTGTTCCCTCTCTGAAGGACTCCAAGAAGCCATAATGATTTTAGGATCTCTTCTACTTTAGAATCTTTTATTTGTTTTTAAGTTTATTTATTTTGAGAGAGAGAGAGAGAGAGAGAGAGAACACAAACAGGGTATGGGCAGAGAGAGAGGGAGAGAGAATCCCAAGCAGGCTCTGTGCTGTTAGCTGATGCTGGGCTTGATGTCACAAACCATGTAATTATGACCTGAGCCAAAATCAAGAGTCTGAGACTTAACCAACTGAGCCATCCAGGTGCCCCTACTTTAGAATCTTTTAAATCATGGGAACTGTCTCCTTATTTGGACAGATTTCAGTCTTTAGAGTGACCCAGGAACTAATGTGGGCTTTCAAAATTTGAAAGCAAACCAGAATCTTCAGTTTGGCATTTAAGGCCCTTAACAATCTGATAATCCTCTTTTGTTTCTAGCCTTATCTACTACCCCTGTGTCCTACATGTTAGTTCAGCTCCATGGACCTACATGTTTTGTATTTTCCTTCCCGAGACACACTACCACCATTCTCATTACAGGAAATTTTCAGGGCCTGGGTCCAAAGTCATTTTATCATGAAAATGAAGCCCTCTCTGACTATACCACATTCCCTTCTCTTCCCATCTTTTAAGAATTAGTTAATCCCGGGGCGCCTGGGTGGCTCAGTTGGTTGGGCATCTGACTTCAGCTCAGGTCATGATCTCACAGTTCGTAAGTTTGAGCCTCACATCAGGCTCTGTGCTGACAGTTCAGAGTCTGGAGCCTGTTTCAGATTCTGTGTCTCCCTCTCTCTCTGCCCTTCCCCTGCTCATGCTCTGTCTCTGTCTCTCTCTCAAAAAAATAAACATTAAAAAAAAAATTTAGTTAATCCCTCCTCTGTGCTTTGCTAATACTGGTGCTATCTTTCTCCGTTATCCTCTTACTGTGTTATATCAGTGATCCTTAACCGGGACTGGGAATCAAAATCATCTGTGGAAATTTTTTCAAAACACATGGCCACGTTTGAACACTGCAAATTGTTATTTAGTAAGTCTCAGGTACACCTTAGACATCGTATATACATGTACACTTTTCTAGATAAAAATAATAATACCTAATGTTTATTAAATGCATTCCATGTGCCAGGTACTAAGCATGTTACATGTATTCATTTTATCCCCATATCAACCCTGTGAAATAGATATCATTATCCCCTTTTTACAGATGAGAGAATTGAGGCATAGCTGGGACTTGGTCAAGCTAGATATAAGTGACATACATTGTGTTATGTTCAGGTGTCCCAACATAATGATTGGATAGATGTACATACTGTGAAGTGATCACCCACAATAAGTCTAATTAACATCATTGCCACATGTAGAAGTATATATCTTTTTAATATTCTGTATGATGAGATGGAAGTACATGAAGCGGCTCTTCTGGGTACTGAAGTTTGGAGGTTTTCCAGAAAAAACACAAGATTACTGTTGTTTGAGTTGAGAGCTACTTTTTGTTTTTTTTTTAAACTTGAAAAGACAATTGATGGATAACTGTGTTAATTCAGATCTGGGTATTCAGTAGATATTTTCTCAAAAATGAGTAAATGAACTTGTTCCTTCAAGGAGAACAACAGACAGTATTTGTTGCCAGTGATAAAATCTGAACTGTGAAGCAAAAAGTACAGTGTGGGAAACATGTATGGGTCACTGAGTTTGGCAGTTTCCCAGTACTTAAAGACTTTTTCTGATGAGATTGGTGATAATATTAACATGGAACTTTTGATGTTGTATAATAAAACGTATCAACATTGGGAAGGTCTGCATAACTCAGTGAAACACTATTTTCCAGAAGTCTAATCCACATGTTAAAACACCATGCATAGGTAAAAGGTCTATTCAAAGTGTAACACAGATCAGTGGATTTAATAGAGTAGAGGAAGTTTGATTATGTAGAGAATAGAGTACAGAAAGTTTGATTAATGTAGTTTCAGGTTCCACATTGCAGCTACTCTTTAAGAACCACTTAAGTTAACAAATTTTGGTTTAGTTTCAAAGGAGAATATCCACTATTAATTGAAATGGCTATTAAAATAATCCTCCCTTTCCAGTTACATATCCTTATAAAGGAAGATTTTCTTCATATATTTCAGCCAACAGATTAAATTTAGTAGTAGAAATGAAAATCCAGCTCTCCTCTTTTAAGCCAGATAATAAAGAGATTCGAAAAAATGTAAAACAATTGCTACTTTTCTCACGAAGCATTTTGTCTTGTTTTGGAAAATATAGTTCTTTTTCACTTAAACTGTTACTGTATTTGAAGTGAGTTAATAAAGGTTATTTTTATTTCTCGACTTTATTTTCTAATAATGGTAAATATCAATAGATAAACCCACATAAGCAAAATAGAGAGATCCTGAGGCGAAAACATTTGAGAATTCCTGCCCTATCATGAGTACTCTGCTGCTCTCCTCACTGATAATTGCCAGTGTTTGTTTCTTTCCCCTTGAGTTATTCCAATGTTTCATATGTATCTCTGTGTAGTAGAATTTTCTGGAACCAATTTTCTTTCTGCTCAGTTCCTTTTAGTATACCATTTCTGTTCTTGATTTGGATTTCCGCCATAAATTTAATATTACATATCTAAAACCACACCAAGGCTACAGATTGTGGACATTTGTTTTATATATTTTTTTCCCTTCCCTTAATTATTGGCTTTCAGACATCTCCAGAATACCAGAAACTGCAGGATTCCAGTTCTTGTTATGAGTCTCTTGCTCTCCATCTCGGCAGGAAAAGGAAGGAAGCTGAATACACACTGGGCTTCTGGAAGACCTTTCCTGGAAAAATGACGGTAAACCATGCCAATTGGCATTACCCCAGCAAACAGCAGGCATATCCATAACAACTGTCATAATTTTCTCCATTCCTCATTTGTTTGTTTATGGTAATAATGCTTTAATGAGCCTTTTTCTAAGGGTGGTCTAAGGGCCACAGCAATAGATGCTGTAAACATCTACCCTCATTTCTAAGAATCCTCTCTGAACACTCACCTTTTGTTTGTTCCTGTTTTTTTCTTAATCTTCTTTGAGCGCTTTTATTAAGTGTTCAGATCCTATCTAACTTCAGGTCCAACACCAACCTAAGCTATGAGCAACAGATTCTTCTAAATGTGATTAGTGTCTTTTTCATTTTTTCCTTGCATTTTAAAATAATTCTGAAGATCATTTATATATTTGTCTTCAATTCCAGGATTCCTTGAGGAAGCCAGAGCGTCGACTGCTGTGTGAGAGCAGTAACCGAGCCCTATCTCTGCAGCATGCTGGGAGGTTTTCTGTGAATTGGTTCATTCTCTTTAATGATGCCCTAGTCCATGCTCAGGTATGCTGGGTTCCTAACTGTTACATTAATTAATTATACCATCAGTTTCTGTTAAAAGTACTGTGATTTTGCTGAAATTATTGAATAAAAGAGAATGTTTAGCTTGCATTTGTGGTATGGACCAAATTTCAGAGAGCTCTTTTAGTTTTCCAGCTTGAAAATGAGTATCAACCAAGTGGAGTCCTGTGGCAGAGATGGCAGGACCCACTGGCATTAGCTATGTTATGGGGATCATGTGGCTGAGATGGTGCACCCATGTGGACTTAACCATTTGAAAAGGGTTATGTAGCAGAGACACCTCCCCCCTCCCCCCCCACCCCCCACCCAGGGCCTATATGGGTTTTCTCAGCTGTGACTCCATGTTGTTTCTTTCAGTTCTCCACACATCATGTTTTCCCTTTGGCCACATTATGGGCAGAGCCACTTTCTGAAGAAGCTGGTGGTGTGTAAGTGTGTCCCCCTTCCCCGACCCTCATCCTAATTCTCTCCCTTTGCTGTCAAGGTTATTTCCTTAGACATGATAAAAAGCTCAGGAGGTCTCCCCATTCTGTGAAATGAGGCTCACCTTCCCAGCATGTAGATAGTTAAATGGCCTGTGAAGATCATGGCTGATCATGATAACACCTGGAGCAAAGTAACTCTGTGTCCTGTAAGAACCAAACCTAGGGCATGACTGCATTTACATTTAATTGACTCTCCTCTCAAAATAAACAAGTTGCTTTTCATATTTGAGGAGTGATATTATAATGACAGGTTGTCATACCTCCTGGTGTTTATCCTTGTGAACATTTTAGGAATGGCTTAAAGATAACTACACCTGAGGAGCAGTTCACTCTCATTTCATCAACACCCCAGGAAAAGGTTAGTCCATTATGATACTTTGTTTTTATCTTTGGCCTGACTACTTCTGTATCTTATGCTAGGAAAGAAAAGATAAAAATTGTTCTTGCTTGGCTAATGATCCGTAATTATGTCTGGTAAGTCTTCATTAAACCAGGACTGTAGATTTTTTTTTTTTTAATGTGACTTACTTTTAAACATACAGCAGTAAATTCCAAGAGCCAGTCAGCATTACTCATTAAGAAAAGCATTAGGAGACAGAAAAATTATTTAGGAGCTAAGAATTACTAGGAGCAAAAAGTTATTTATCATTAGGACACAGCAAGGAAAGCTATCAGGGTTTAAGGCAGTGCGTGATGAGTTGTTGCTTTAAGGTTATTCACATTTACTTTTTGTTCCTAGACTAAGTGGCTACGGGCTATAAGCCAAGCTGTGGATCAGGCTTTGAGGGGGACATCTGACCTTCCACCTTATGGAAGTGGCAGTAGTATTCAGAGGCAGGAACCACCCATTTCACGCAGTGCCAAATATACTTTCTATAAGGATCCTCGCCTAAAGGATGCAACCTATGATGGACGCTGGCTTTCAGGGAAGCCCCATGGCAGGTGAAAATGTTCAAGATTTATGAGTGGGGTGAAGATGATAGTCTGATTCAAGATTGAAAAAGTATTGGTTATCTGAAACATTAATTGATATGTATTATTTTTTGCTTATGCATTTCAGAGGGGTTTTGAAGTGGCCAGATGGAAAGATGTATTCTGGCATGTTCAGGAATGGCTTGGAAGATGGGTAAGAAGATGGTGTGAAACATAAGAGTAAATTCAGTTTCATCCACTGATGACATCATTATGTATTGGGAACTATTTTCAAAACAAATAGATTTTTGTTTTGTTTTTTAGAAATGCATGCAGTGTGCTAGGGCTTATGATGCAGATGTGTGATCATGAAGAGGGCTGGGAATCTAGGCTGCAGCCTTGGTTTACCTGGAGTGAATCATTTACCTTGATAGCCTTGTGACCTCAAGTGACACAGCCTTTCTTTCTGTATGTTAAAATGGGACTATTTTCTGTCCATTTCCCAGTGGTGAAGACTGAGTACCTGGGGTAATATTGATGGTGAACTGTTGAGATAATAGTGCCCCCCTTACACAAAGGATATAGAAAAATTTTCCTTTCAGTAGTTTTAAATCATCTTTAATTTCTGTGATGTGCTAAAGGAGAAATCTTCTATATGATATACTAATGGTACTCAAATGACATTATTTTTGTATCAGCTTGTTGTGTTTTCTAACACTAAAAATAATTGCATGATAAACTTACAGCAGTGAAGTATTTTGTATCATGTTAGAGAAGTAATTTATTTTACTATATAAAAAAAGGTTATTATATAAATTGGGTAGATGATTTTTGTGTATATGATGATATAAATTTTTATGATGTCTTTTAATTTCCTTTTAATGGAATTTTAGAATGTGAGACTTTAGATAACTCATTTACCACCCCTCCCCCCGCTTACACAGGTGAGGTTGCTGGGTACCTGGACTTAACCAAGGTGATGTTGCTAATTAGTGGCAGAGGCTTAGGACACAGGTTTTCTGTTTTTCACTGGAGTTGGGGTAAAATACTTGATCTCTCTGTGTAGTGGGATTGATGCCCTACTCCTCTAAGACTTGCTAGATAGCTTAGATAATAAATACAGTTTAAACCAAAACCCCATTTACCCGTTTCCCCCACAGGTAATTCCCTTTTCTGTTCTCCTTGTTAAAATGTTTACAAGTGCATACCTAGAAAAGGCGAATGTGTCCTAAATGCATCTTCTGATGTTTTTTATTCTCCTTGGCAGATATGGAGAATATAGAATCCCAAACAAAGCACTGAACAAAGAAGACCATTATGTGGGCCATTGGAAAGAAGGAAAAATGTGTGGTCAAGGAGTCTATAGGTAATAACATTGGAAAGGTTGTTAGACTGGTGTTGCTTTTTCAAAGAATCATGTAAACTTAAATGTATGTGTAGCCAACATTTCCAAGGAGTAAATTTTATTTACTCTTTTTTGACTGAAACTGCCTCAAAAGTCTTTTTATAAAGGTAACTTCTTGTCTATCACAAGGTGAAAATATTAGGTTATTTATTATTTAATTTTCAACAAAATAGTACAAACCTTAGAAGTCATAGCTTTCTCATAGGATCTCCTAGATGTCTTTCCTATAAATTTATATTTATTAAATAACTCTAATATGGATAAAATGTATGATCCTTTCAGAGATTACTCATTATTTCATTTTCTCATAAGAGATTAATACACATTTTTCCCCATGTTAACACAGAATACCATCCAGGATATTTTTAATTTCTTAGCCTTAGTCATTCAAACATGAAAAAAAAAAATGGTGAAAAATCATCATATAAATAAATAGAGATACCAGTGGGACAGGAGTATACTTTTAAATTTCCTGAACTTTGTAAAAATGAGCCTCAGAATTCAATGTGTTTTTGGTCTTTATCCATTTTTTGTAACCACAGTTATGCCTCTGGTGAAGTGTTTGAAGGCTGTTTTCAAGATAACATGCGTCATGGTCATGGTCTCCTACGGAGTGGAAAATTGACTTCCTCTTCTCCCAGTATGTTCATTGGCCAATGGGTAATGGATAAGAAAGCAGGATATGGTGTCTTTGATGATATCACTAGGTATAGTATTCTCCTTCTAATCTCAAAGTTTAGTATGAGAGGATAAGGTTCCTGTATTTCTCCAGTAACAGCGATGTTTTTAAATGTTTATCTATTTCTTTAGAGAGAGAGCTTGCATGAGTTGGGGAGGAGCAGAGAGAGAGAGAGGGAGAATCCCAAACAGGCTCCTTACTGTCAGAGCAGAGCCTGACAATAAGTTCGATGAACAGTGAGATCATGACACTTAACTGACTGAGCCACTCATGGGCCCCAATAGCGATGTTTTTATGAAGGCTGAGCATCTTAATTGGACAGTATTGAGGAAATTCTTAATAAGACACAGTTGGCAGGCATTATTTTATCCATTTGCTTATGAACCAAATAGTGGATTACTTCTTTACAAGATCAAGATCATTCAAAATTAACATTGGTACCATTTTCCTTAAAGCTCCGCACATACGAAGCTTTTAGTGTCTTAGAAGTTACCAAATTTTTGACTGTTATAAAAAGAAAAACCTTTAAAACAGTCAGACATAATAGGAGTAAAAGGTCAAGGAAACGAGTGGAAATTCCCTTTTTGGGTCGTAGAATGGTATCTAAACATCTTTTTGCTTAGGTCTGTTAGGTCAGGGACTTGTTATGCCAATAACCTAGGAGTCAAGCTTAAATTCAGTTAACTAAACCTTGAGGATGAACGTAGTTCTTTTGCCTCCATATTTGATTTAGTCTGATTTGCATTTGGACTTAATAGATACGTTTTTCCCCCTTCATGTCATTTTCATAATGTGGGATTTTAAAATTTAGATGTTATTACTAAACTCCATGATTATTTAACAATCAGTTTATACTTTGCTTTTGTAGTGGAGATTAGTAAGATTTCTCTGAGTTTGAGTATGTGAAGAATGAGACTTCCTTTTTTTTTTTTTTTTTGGGAGAGATTGCTCAGGGGAGAGGGATGGGGAGAGGGAGGAAGGGAGGGAGAGAAGGGGAAGAGAGAGAGAGAGAGAGAGAGAGAGAGAATATGAATACAAATCTTAAGCAGGCTCCATGCTCAGCGTGGAGCCCAACATGGGGCTCGATTTCATGACCTTAGGATCATGACCTAAGCTGAAATCAAGAGTCGGATGTTCAACTGACTGAGCCACCCAGGTGCCTCAGAATGAGAGTTTTTATATGATAAACCTCATTTCTTTTTTTTTTTCCTAGCAACTCCCATGTTATAATTGTTTTTCCATTTCATCCTTACCATCAGTTTTTCATTTTCATTTCTTTTCTATTTCTGTACAGGGGGGAAAAGTATATGGGAATGTGGCAAGATGACGTATGTCAAGGGAATGGTGTGGTAGTTACCCAGTTTGGATTATACTATGAAGGCAACTTTCACCTTAATAAAATGACGGTGAGTAAAATATTTTGCATATACTTACTATTGACTTTTTAAAAATTCTATGTCCTTTTAAATCATTTTTATTAACGTTCTACCTTCTTAGTACTATTTTTCTTATCTTTTAAAATTATGTAAGGCTTTGGGGGATATGGCTGCATGTATTCCTTAAGTTACTTTGCATTTTATCTGTTGTGATTTTTGTTTTGTTTCTCCCCATAGGGAAATGGGGTTTTACTTTCCGAAGATGATACTATATATGAGGGAGAATTTTCAGATGACTGGACTCTTAATGGAAAGGTTGGAAACTAACTTTCTTCTTCCTCTAATCAATCTTATACTTATTTTTTCTTGACCTTAAACAAAAAAGAGCTACCTTGTCATAAAATTCACCTGTTTTAAGAGTACATTTCAGTGATTTTTAGTAAATATACAGAGTTGGATAGCCATCACCACAATCCAATTTTAGATCCTTTCACGTCATCCAAAAAAGATTTCTGTCACCATTGCCTGCTCATTTGCAGTCATTCACCGTTTCTGTCACCAGTCCTAGACAACCTCCTTTTAGTGGACTCTATAACTCTGTAGATTTGCCTTTTCAGGTTTTTTTTAGCTTTGCTTTGCCTTTTTTTTTTTTTTTAAAGATTTTTTTTTTCCCCCCCAGTAATCTCTACACCCAACATGGGGCTTGAACCCACAACCCTGAGATCAGGAGTCGTACACTCTGACTTAGCCAGCCAGACGTCCCTCAGGTCCTTTCTTATAAATGGATTCATACAATATGAGGGCTTTTCTGTGTGGCTTCCTAGACTTAGAATAATGTTTTCGAGGTTTTCCCATAGTGTGACCTGTATAGTACTTCATTGCCTTTTATTGCTAAATAGTATTCTAAAACCACATTTTGTTTATTGCTTCATCATTGATGGGCATTGGATTAGTTCTCACTTCAGACTATTATGAATAATCTTTCTATAAACATTTGAATACAGTTTCTTATGTGAACATATGTTTTCATATCTTGGGCAGGTGTTTAGGAGAGTAATTGCTGGGTTGTATGGGAAATTGACATTTAACATATCAAGATATTGCCAACTGTTTGCCAGAGTGGCTGCATCATTTTACATTCTCATCACTAATGTATGATGATTCTAATTTCTCTCCATATTTTCCAGTATTTTTATTTTTTGTTTTTTTTCTTTTTGCCATCCTACTAGGTGTGAAATGATATTTCATGGATTTAATTTACATTTTCCTAATGACTGGTTATGTAGAGCATATTTTCATGTTTTTATTAGTGATTCCTCTATCTTTTTGTGAAATGCCTATTCAGTTATTTTGATATTTTGACAATTTGTTTGCTTATAGTCTTATTGAATTGTAAGGGTTCTTTATATGTTCTGGATATGAGTTCTAATATCAGATATAGGATTCGCAAATATTTTCTTGCAGTCGTGGTTTGTCTTTTTATTTTCTTTCTTTCTTTTTTTTAAATGTTGAACCATTTCATTTATTTTTCTTAACGCTTATTTATTATTTTTGAGACACAGAGACAACATGAGCAGGGGACAGGCAGAGAGAGGGAGACACAGAAGTCGAAGCAGGCTCCAGGCTCTGAGCTGTCATCACAGAGCTTGATGCAGGGCTGGAACCCACGAACTGTGAGATCATGACCTGAGCCAAAGTCGGACGCTTAACCAGCTGAGTCACCCAGGCACCCGTCTTTATATTTTCTTTTTAGTGACTTTTGAAGCACAAAACTTTTTAATGAAGCCATTATATCAAAAACATTTTTATGAGTCAGGCTTTTGATGGCATATATAAAGAAATCTTTCCTTAACTCAAGGTATTAAGATTTTCTTCTGGGGGCACCTACATGGCTCAGTTGGTTGAATGTACAACTCTTGATTTCGCCTCAGGTCATGATCCCAGGGTCATAGGATCAAACCCCATATTGGGCTCTGTGCTGAATGTGGAGCCTGCTTGAGGTTCTCTCTTTCCCTCTGCTCCTTTGCCCCACTTGCATGCTTTTTTCTCTCTCTCAAATAGAAAAAAAAAAAAAAAAAAAAAAAAAAAAAAAAACAACTTTCCTCTGTGTTTTCTTCTAAAAGTTTTATAGTTTTAGCTCTTATATTCAGGTCTGTGATTCATTTTGAGGTACTTTTGTGTATGGTGTGGGTTAAAAGTCTTACTTGAGGGGCGCCTGGGTGGCTCAGTCGGTTAAGCATCCGACTTCAGCTCAGGTCACAATCTCAAGGTCCATGAGTTCGAGCCCCGCGTCGGGCTCTGGGCTGATGGCTCAGAGCCTGGAGCCTGCTTCCGATTCTGTGTCTCCCTCTCTCTCTGCCCCTCCCCCGTTCATGCTCTGTCTCTCTCTGTCTCAAAAATTAATAAACGTTAAAAAAAAAAAATTAAAAAAAAAAGTCTAACTTGATCTTTTTGCATGTGGGTATCCAATTGCCTCAGCAACTTTTCCCACTGAATTTTCTTGACACCTTTTTGAAATTAATTCACCATAAAATGTGTTTCTTTTTGGACTCTTGTATTCCAGCGATGTACATGTCTCTCTTTATACCAGTACCACACTGTCTTGATTACTATAGATTTCTAGTAATTCTAGTGAAATCAAGAATTATTTTTTAAAATGTTTTGGCTGTTTTGGATCTTTAGCCTTTTCATATAAATTTTAAGACTGGTTTGTTAATATCTGCTATAAAGCCTGAGATTTTGATAGAAATTGTGTTGAATCTATAGATCATTTTGGGAAGAATTGCCGTTTTAATAATACTGAATCTTCCAATCCATAAACATGAAATGTCTCTCTATTTAGATCATCTTTAATTTCTATCAGCTATGTGTTGTAGTTTTTAATGTGTATCTCTTGCATAAGTTTGGTTAACTTTATTCCTAAGTATCCTTGTTAAGGCTGTTGTAAAGAGAATTTTTGTTTATTTTACTTTTTGATTTTATATTGCTATCATATAAAAATATAATTGATTTATGTATTTTCTTGTATCCTGAAACCTTGCTGAACTTGTTTATTCTGCTACAGGTTTGGTGTGGTGTGGTTGTGTGTGTGTGTGTGTATTTGTGTGTATTTCCTAGGAATTCTTGCATACAGGATCATGTTGATTTCAAATCAAGGCAGTTTTACTTTTTCCTTTGCAATCTGGAAGGCTTTTCTTTCTTTTTTTTTTTTTTTTATTGTCTGATGGCACTGGCTAGATTCTCCAGTAGAATGTTGAATAGACGTGGTTAGAATAGTGGTTGAATAGAAGTGGATATCCTTGCCTTAATCCCTATTTTAGAGGAAAATCAAGGGGTGCCTAGATGGCTCAGTCAGTTAAGGGTCTGACTTTGCCTCAGATCATGATCTTACGGTTTGTGGGTTCGAGCCCCACGTCGGGCTTTGTGCTGACAGCTCAGAGCCTAGAGCCTGCTTTGGATTCTGGTCTCCCTTTCTCTCTGCCCCTCCCCTGCGCGCGCGCCCTGTCTCTCTCTCTCTCTCTCTCTTACATAAACATTAAAAAAAATTAGAGGAAAAACACTGAATCTTTCACCATTAAGTATGATGTTAGTTAAAGGTTTTTCATAGATTAATCAGATTGAGATAGTTCTGTTCTTAGTTTGTTGAGAGTTTTTGTCATGAATACATCTTGGATTTTGTCAAAGAACATTTTCTGTGTGTTGAGGTGATTGTGTGATGTTTGTCCTTTTTTAATATAGTGTATTGGTTGCTTTTCTGGGATAAATCATAGTTGGTCATGGTATATAATACTTTTATAATTTGTGAGATTTAATGCTAATATTTTGTTGAAGATTTTTGCCTCTGTATTTATGAGAGGTAAGGGTCTATAGTTTTCTTTTCTCATGATGTCTTTGTCTTTGGTATAAAATTAGCCCCATAGAATGAGTTGGGAAGGGTTCCCTTCTCCTTTGTTTTCTGAAAGAGTTTGTGAAATCTTGGTATTATTTCTTCTTTGAATGTTTTGGAGACTTCACTGGTGAAATCATCTGGCCCTGAGCATTATTTTATGGTAATACTTTTAGTTTCTAATTCAGTTTTCTTTAAATTGGTCTATTCAGATTTTCCATTTCTTTTAGAATCAGTTTTGGCAATTTGGTTCTTTCTAGGAACTTTTCTGTTGTATTGAAGTTCTCAGATTTGTTGGCATAAAATTGTTGTCTTAGTTTTTTCTTAATCTTTTTTAATTTCTGTAAGATTGCTGTAATATGTGTTTCATTGACTTTGTAATTTTATGTCTTTTTTTTCCTTGATTAATCTAGTTAAGTGCCAATTTTGTGTATCTTTTCAAAGAAGCAAATTTTGGTTTCATTGATTTTTCTCTTTTTAAAAAAAAATCTCATTGATTTCTGCTCTAGTGTTTGTTATCTCCTTGTTTTGGGTCTGTTTGCTCTTCTAATTTTATAAGGTGGACTTTTAGATTACTGATTTCAGATCTTTCTTATTTTCTAATACAGGCATTTATAGCTATAATTTGCCTCTGGGCACTAGATTGGATAAATTTGGATAAGTTGTTTGTTCATTTCATTCAGCTCAAAATATTTTACCAATTATTCAGTGATTTTTTTTTTCTTTTACCCATGGATTATTTTCATACAATCTTTTTAGAGATGCATAGTATGTATATTTGCCCCGCCCCCCACCCCCCCTGCTAGAGAACTGGGGACTGCTAATGAGTTAAAAAAGGAAAATGTATTAGGGGCACCTGGGTGGCCCAGTTGGTTAAGCGTCCAACTCTTGATTTATGCTCAGATGATGATTTCACAGTTGTGAGATCCAGCCCCACACCAGGCTCTGCACTGGGCATGGAGCCTCCTTAAGATTCTCTCCTTCTTCTTCTGTCCCTTCCCTACTTGCACATGCATGCTCTCTTTTTCTTTCTCTAAAAAAACAAAAAATAATGGAACATGTTAACCAGTTGGTGCTTTTTTTTCTCTTGATTTTTTAAACTGGAAATACTGCTTCTAATTCGACATTTTCTTTTACTTTACCTAGGGAACGCTGACTATGCCAAATGGAGATTACATTGAAGGTTATTTTAGTGGAGAATGGGGATCTGGGATAAAAATCACCGGAACTTACTTCAAGCCTAGTCTGTATGAGAGTGATAAAGACAGACCCAAAGTTTTGTGAGTAACTAGTGTTAATTGTGGATTAATTATTAAATGTTTTGAGTTGTCTTGATTATATCAAAGCTGCTTAATATTTTAAATGCAGAACAAATTTTTAAAGTCATTTTTTAACAAAACGTAACCTCCTTATATTGCCAACTGCCACTGTTACAGATAGCTGAATCTTTAGTCTTGGCTTAGATTATAGTCATGGGTATTTAAAATAAAAGTTCTGTGTATGGGAGTGGTTTTACTGTTAGTGGTAAAAGTATCCAAATTGATTGGAAGAGAACATTGTTAAGTGGAATCCCTATACAACTTGATTCTAAAAAGTAAAAGCCAAGCCTATATATGTACCAAGTGGAATAGTATATTCTGCATATGTAGGGAAAAAAAACAAAATCTTTATCTCTAAGTGTGTTATGTTCTTCAGGTTTTTGGCATATATTTATTTTCCTTTTTTGATTCCAGCATTAGATTCTCAGATTCTTTGTTCTGATGGAACCTTGATATGTTTTCTGTTACTCAGTATTTTTAGAATTCAGTATGTAATGCATTTCACAGTTCTCATTATGAGATGTGCAAAGCACAGGAAGTCCTTGTTTTAACAGGAATCAGTTTTACAAAATTGATTATGTGGAAATGTAGAAACAAAGGAGTCAATTCTGATGTGCTTCATACTTAACCATTTATACACCTTAGTATCTGATAAACATTAAGAAGCTAAAAACCATTTTTAAAAAATTTTCAGTGTTTATGAAATAGAACCACCATCAGTGTGGGCAGTTGTGTTACAGAAGCATTCCCAGTTGTATATCAGAAAGTTTCTGTTCTTTAGGATTTTTGCACAAGAGATTAATAAAAGCTTGATGTGACTTTATTAGCAGGAAGCTAGGAAACCTGGCAGTGTCAGCTGATGAGAAATGGAAAGCAGTCTTTGATGAATGTTGGCGTCAACTGGGCTGTGATAACCCAGGCCAAGGGGAAGTTTGGAAAGCATGGGACAATATTGCTGTGGCCCTGACTACTAATCGGCGCCAACACAGAGACAGGTGAGTGAATGCTTTGCCCAGCATAGTATGGTAGGAAGTTGAAACTTAACAAGTAGTCAAGGCTTGCCACATTTAACTTAAAAATATAATTTAAGTTTCAATGATGTATTTCTGTTCTGGGTAATTTAGATAAAACACACCTATCTTTATCTTGTACTGAATTCAGCTATAAAACTCAGACAATATATGAACAGCTGTTCTACAAGGTAGATATCAGCTAGTATATTGAGGAGGAATACCTGAAATCAAAGTACCAAGTGAGTTGTTTTTGTATTTTTTTTAGTTTTGAGTTTTTTAACTTCAGTATCCCTCACCCTGAATTCCATTAACCTGAAAGCTTTAAGTAAGTACTATGATTTAGACATAACTTGAGGAAAAACCCTTTGCTTCTGGCTCAAGATGCAACAAAGAGACTCCTAAAGCTCAGATAGAGTGGAGGAGATACATATGGGTTTTCTTTCTCTCTTTTTTTCTTCATTTTCTCATGCTTCAGCCTCCATGTTCTTCTGGGACAGGGGTGGCAGTGGGATTTGCTAGAGCAGCCAGGAACAGGGAAAACTCTTGGAGGACTGGAAACCTCTTCCTCCACTGGTGGATCCTCAGGTGCAGTAGTCATGGCTGAATTCCATTGCTTTTCTGGCCTCTCTCTCTATCCTCCCACCCCTTGGTCCTAGAAGTGGCATGTTGACAGAAGGGAGCAGTTTCTGACCTGAGGATCTAACAGGGGACCCAGAAAATGCTGGGGAGGCAATGGAGAGAGAAGAGCTCTACAAAACAACCCTGTAAAGTTATGAACTCCTGGGCTCACCCCAGACCTGCACATATGTGGATTTGATCCTAATTAGCAGACCAGACACTTTGAGAACTGAGCTAATAGGTAGACTTTCAACCATGTCCCAGAGTGACCACTGAGTGATATGCTCACAGACATACCTAAATAGAACTGCAAAGGCTTTGAGAAGTGAACTGACATTGGCACCACTGCCCATAGAAGACTGAATCAAAACTATCAGCTGTTTCAGAGGTTCCCAAGATCACCTACATGTTCAGTGATTGACTAGAGGGACTCATAAGACTCATCATAAAGTCATGCAGGTAAAAGTTACTACAGCAACACAGTATGGAGTTACGGCCAGATCATAAGAGAAGAAGACACAGGCAGAGTCTGGAGGAATCCATGTGCAAGCTACCCATGCTCTCACCCTTCTGTGAGGGGTCACACAGAGCACACCATCCTTCCAGCAGTAAAATGCAGCCACCATTTACAGTCTTTCTGCCTAGGAACCATTAGAGACTCAGTGCCTAAGGTTTAGTGGAGGGGCCTGGTCACATAGGCACTCTATGCTTAGCAACTACCAAAATTCCACAGTCCCAGAAGGAAAGCAGATAGTCACCATAAATCACATTGTTAGCATAGTCTATGGACAGCAAAATACCCTTATCAGGTAGGGAATAATTCATGTCCGTATAGGGAAATTTAGGAAGCAGATCCTTCTAAAGATAATAGTTTCAAGCCTTCCATGTGTACTCTGTTATGCCTGTCAACGTTTTTCATAGGATGGAAACAAGACCCAAAGTGTCATAACATAATACTCAAAAATGTCCAGAATATAAACCAAAATTACTTGGCAATCAAAGAACCACCAACTTCTTTTGGGAAAGATGATAGACACCAGTGACTCTGCAACGTAGATTTTAGTATTATGACAACTTAAAGCAGGTATTATAAAAATGCTCAGATGAGCAATCACAAACATCCTGGAAGCAAATACTAAAATTAAAAGTATTAGCAAAAAAATAGATATAAAGAAGAACCAAATCAAAATTTTGAATTAAGAAATATAATAACCAAAATAAAATCACTAGGAGAACTTACTAGCAGAATAGAGGTGACAGCAGAAGAGTCACTGAACCTGAGAACAGATTAATAGAAACTATCCAAACTGAACAACAGAGAGAAAATACATGGAAAAAGAAAATAAACAGAGCTCTAAGGAGTCTAGTACTTGTGTCTCTGGAATCTCAGAAGGAGAGGAGAAAAATCATGAGGATGAAAAGATATTTGAAGAAATAATGGTTGAAACCATCCCAAATTTGGTGAAAGACAAATGTGTAGATTCATGAAGCTGAGCAACCTGTGTCCTGAAAAAAAGATATCCGTGAACAGACATGTCAGTCAAATTGAAAAACAAAATCATGAAAGCAACTAGAGAAAAAAAAAGGGCATTACACAGAGGGGAAACCACCATTCAAATGCTTGCATATTTGTCATCAGTATCTTCTGGAGACCAAAAACAAGTGGCACAACAATTTTGAAGTTCTGAAAGAAAAATTATAGATGTACCTCTTCATTTCTCTTTTTTCTTTTTCTTAATTTTCTCCCTGTTCTCCTTTTCTCCTAACTTTTTTCCCCCTCTCCATCTGCTTTTGTACATATTTCCTTATTCTTTAACTTGGCCAGTAACTCCCACAAGCAATGCTTGGAATTTGGACCCAAAGAATTTACTAATCCCTTTGTATTGAAAGAAGTTTGGGTTCTTTCCCCCCTATATTTGGTATAAATGGGAACTGAATATAGTGTTTTATTCATGAAGTTTACGATTTTTGCCTTGTATTCTTTCTATTAGTAGAAGAAATGGAAACTCCTAGGATTGATGAAAGTTGTGGACTTTCCCTTGTGTGTGATGCAGAGGGTCAGCCTTCACTGATAGAGCCTGTCAGTTTAAACATTGAGACTTTGGTCCTGTAGTTAACCTTGGTTAACTGTTGTTGGGTGTTTCCAGGGAATGAGAGTGAATGAACTTTTATATAATAAAACATGTTGCTACCACAGAGGTCTTATTTATCTAAAATAGTATAATAATGTACATCATTTCTAATCGGTTGTAATCTGATAATAGAATACCATTACCAAAAATGTCTGTTGATTATTAAGTATGTGTTTTATCATAGCCTCTTCGCTCAAAGCTTCCCTTTACCCATTATGTACTTACCTCACCACCTGTTGTAGCATCCTCATGATCTCCTTACTTGAGCTCATTTTCCTTTTTCTGCTGCCATTTCATTTGTTTTCCTTTTTCCTCACACCTTCCTGTCTTATTTTCCATTTTTCTCTTGTCATTAACAAGTCTGTTACCAGTTTTCTCTTCAAGCTAACATAGTATCACCTAACACCATGGTTGATACTAAAGCAAAATCTTCATTAATTAATTGTAGTTGGTATGAAGTAACATTAAATGACACTGGAATGACTTAAAAAAAATCTAATAGCAGGTCAGTTACCTATTATGAGCTCATTTAGGCCAGGCACTGTACTGGGTACTCCATTTTGTCCTTACTTGGTGATAGTGTTTCATGTGCACATTACAGTTTGCTTTTGTTCGTTCGTTTGTTCTTCCTTCCTTCCTCTCTTTTTTCTTTTCTTTCTTTTTTTCTTTCTTTTGTCTCTGTTCTTTCCTCCCTCCCTTCCTCCCTCCCTCCCTCCCTCCCTCCCTTCCTTCCTTCCTTCCTCCCTCCCTTCCTTCCTTCCTTCCTTCCTCCCTTCCTTCCTTTCTTTACTTACTTAGTTTCTATACCCAACATGGGGCTCAAACTTAGGACCCCGAGATCAAGAGTCATAATGCTCTTCTGACAGAGACAGCCAGGCGCCCCTCTTGCTTTCATGATATGAAATACATAATGGGCTTTCTGTTGTCTTTTTACAGTCCAGAGACATTAAGTCGTTCACAGACTCAAACACTAGAGAGTTTGGAATTCATTCCTCAGCATGTTGGTGCCTTCTCTGTGGAGAAATATGATGACATCAAGAAGTATTTAATAAAGGTAGAGTCAAAATTACACCGGTCTTATGAATTAATGACACAGCTACCACAGTATAACATTCAAATCTGCTCACAGGTTATTGGTGCTCTAATCCTATTTTTGCTTTCTAAGTATTTCTTTTTTAATTCTCTAACTACTAAAAGCACATTTTCGCATGAAGATTGCTGTATCATGATGATAGAACTTTTTAAGTTTTGTAAAGTGCTCAAGAGGGTTCTTGAGAACAAGGGTCAAAGTTTAAAATTGATTTTTGTTGGTAACAAACTAGAGATTGTATAAATAAAGCATGCTGCCCTCACCCCATGGTTATGCTCTTTGCTTCCTTCTCAAGTCCTGTAAGATTAGCTACAGTTTAAAGTATGACATGCATCAATATGGGGTTGCAGGAAGGAGTATTAAGAGAAATCAAGGGAACTGAAGAGTATTTTCAGGCCTAATCAACTGCCGTTTAGTTTTCTTAAAGGTAACATCTGTTTTTGTGAAGTTTATAGTTTAATTATATTTATCAGTATATCCAAAGCTATTTTCCCAAGATGTTAAAGGCATTCTTTGATTAAGATTAGGAATTCCTACTCTGTATGTAGACTCAACTCTTTTAGAAAAGTTAAAAGTATTTGAATTTTTCTCATCCAAATGTTTAGTCCTTGCCAGTTTGAAAATTGTCTATCATTTATGAAATTGTTTTATTATTTATTGGTTGACTGTTTCTGTTGTTAGTCATTGACTTCATTGATCCCGTTCCTGTTCAGGCCTGTGACACTCCTCTGCACCCCCTGGGCAGGCTTGTGGAGACACTGGTTGCAGTTTATAGAATGACATATGTGGGTGTGGGAGCCAATCGCCGGTTATTGCAGGAGGCTGTGAAGGAGATTAAGTCCTACCTTAAGCGAATTTTCCAGCTGGTGAGGTAAGAGATCTTTCTCATTGAAGTCTGCAAACTGTGGAATAGTGGTTAATGCTAATGCTTGGATGTCTTCATCCTGAATCTAGAGATTACAACAACTTTGTGAAGAATCATTAAGTTTCCTCTTTATCACAGAAATTATTCATCAAGAAAATGGTTTTGTGCCACAGATCCTTAAATAGATTAAGTAATGAAAATGAAAACATGTTTCATGTTTTTACTTTATGCAATAAACACAGCAAAGGAAACCATCAACAAAATGAAAAGGTAACCTACTGAGTGGGAGAAGATATTGGCAAATGATATATCTGATAAGAGGTTAATTTCCAAAATATATAAAGAACTTACATGTGCAACACTTTTATTAAAAAAAAACACAATCTGATTAAAAATGGACAGAGGACCTGAACAGACAGTTTCCCAAAGAAGACATACAGACGACCAACAGACACTAGAAAGAATGCTTGACATCGCTAATCACCAGGGAAATGTCTATATTCTCATAGGCTTCCATTCTAGTGGAACATATGGAAACATATGGTATGTCAGGTGTTGGTAAATGTGACAAAAGATGGAGCTGGAGGTAAGAGGCTGCTATTTTAAACAGAGGTTCCAGGAGGCCTAATAAGGTAATACCTGAGCAGAGACTTTGAAAAGGAAGAAAGGAAGCAAATAGAGCATCTTTGGAAAGAGTTTCACGTAGGAAATTTGGAATATGTGAAATTCAAGATCCTTTATTGGGTTTAAGCCAATAAGTAATTACTATATTGAGATAATTATATGAAAATTTATAAATTTGTCTCAGAAAACTTCCTTCTATTATTAGCTTCGAAACGGATAGATGCATTTGGAAATGTCTCAGATTTGAGGGGGCAGCGTAATCCATGAAAAAGACCAGTGGCTGGGAGTGTTTCAGCTCTGACATTAGTTAGAGGGGTATAATGAAGATAAGTTTTTGACCTTTTTTAGTTTTCCCAAATATAAAATAAGGGGCAGAGGCAGGGGCAAGGTATAAGTCTACAAAAATAGAAGATTGGAAACTCCCTTTGAAGACTCAAGGTTTAGGTCTGAAAGTAAAGAGGACAATAAAGTTGTTTATAGTAGAGCTCATCATTTGCATATAAGAGTTCAGAGATAAAATCTAGGGCAAATTCAAAACCTAGGAAAAAAAGTCCTCATAACTTAGCAGCTTGATCATGTGCAAAAATTTTTTAGCAACTTGAATTTTAAAACATTAAAAATGTTTATATTGATTAGATTTTCATTTTTTCTTAATGTTGAATATTTAAGTCATTTTCAGCTAATATTTGTTTATACCCTGAGAATAATTGTTTCTGCTTAAAGATTCAATATGAATTGACCTCAAATGAGATTTGTCAGTTAGAAAAACAGAATTTCTCACTTTTTAATAACTAGACAGAAATGGGGTGCGTGGGTGGCTCAGGTAAGCTGATCTCAGCTCAGGTCTTGATATCAGGGTCGTGAGTTCAAGGCTTTCATTGAGCTCTGTGCTGGGCATAAAGCCTACTTCAGAACCAAAACCAAAAAACACAGCACATGAAGATTTTTTAGTGGTATTATTCATTAGCTACAGTCTTAATTTTATCCTATAAGAAGCATCAGTTAAGAATCTCAGGAAACTAAAATATTTACTTGATATAAATTTTGATTTCATAGGTCTTTAAATAGATGAAATAATAGAAATGCGTTTTTACTCTTTTTAGACATTCTAGAGGTATAATTGTCTAATTGTGTTTTGTTATTCCTTAGATTCTTATTTCCTGAGCTTCCTGAAGAGGGCAGCACAATTCCTCTCTCTGCTCCTCTGCCAACCGAAAGGAAATCCTTTTGCACTGGGAAATCAGATTCCAGATCCGAATCTCCAGAGCCTGGGTAAATGGAGTTGGGTAGAGATAGTGAAGAAAGAGGGTGGGTGATCCTATCCAAAGAATCCCAAGGAAGAGTTTTCTCTAGATCTCAGTTTCCTTATTTTTAAAATAATGTGACTGGACTAGGTAATCTCTGAGGTCCCTTTCAGGTCTTAAGTTGTATTAGTCAAACCCCAAGGAAGTGCACACATGAGTTACTGGGCTCCGAGCCTGCTGAGCAAAGTAACATCATGCTCATCTAGAATAACCACAGAGAATCATTTTCAAAACGGAAACCAACTGGGTTTAGTTAGATTTTGAGGTAATGAAAAGAATTCACAGTTGGTCCAAGATATAAAACTCTGGGGCCATAGGTAAGTTCTTCATGTTACCTCCAGATAAAAACGCAGAATAATGTTAGAACTGTTTCTTTATTCAAAATGTCCCATCTTCCTTTCAGCTTGAAACTGAAACTCTTTGATTCTGTATTCAATTTTGATATGAATGCTTCTCCTTCTCCAATATTTTGTAGTTATGTGGTAACAAGTTCTGGGTTACTGCTTCCTGTACTACTACCTCGGCTCTACCCACCACTGTTTATGCTCTATGCCCTGGATAATGATCGTGAGGAAGACATTTACTGGGAATGTGTACTACGACTAAATAAACAGCCAGATATTGCTCTTCTGGGCTTCCTTGGGGTGCAGAGGTAAGTACAGTAGTTACGAGTAAAATCAAATGGTTTAATTTAAAATGCAAACAGTGAGGGACACCTGGGTGGCTCAGTCAGTTAAGCGTCCGACTTCAGCTCAGGTCATGATCTTACGGTTTGTGGGTTCAAGCCCCACGTCAGTTTCTGTGCTGAGAGCTCAGAGCCTGGAAACTGCTTTGGATTCTGTGTCTCCCTCTCTCTCTGCCCCTCCCCTACTGATGCTCTGTCTCTGTCTCAAAAAGCATTAAAAAATTTTTTTTAAATGCAAACAGCATTATTAATTGGATCTATGATTTGCAGTTGATTCACTTACTTGCATATCTATTATTCAGCAAAATAGTGACATTTAATCTTTATTTTTGAGAATTTTTGAAGTGGGGTATAAATCTTGATTATTCTTCTGATGTGTTTTATTTGTGTGTGTGTATGAAATGTTTGTGTGTGTGTGTATATATATATGTAAATTTTAGCTATCCCATCTGATATTTTGCTGTTCTTTAAAACAAAATACATGTTTATAGTTTCAGAAAAAATTAATTGTATTTAGTCTTTGATGTTCTTCCTTCCCTTCTTTTTCTTTCCTCCCCGTGTACAATTTGTAATTTAAAAGTTTTAGAAGTGCTTTGTTGTAGAGCATTGTTTCTTGTTATTCCGGGAGAACACATTATCCTTTCTTCTAGTACGATGATAAAGCTGATCACCCAGCACCATTAATTATATATTTGTGTTCTAAAAAAAGGTGAACAAGCCTTAATCAGAAAGTAAATTTTTTCAGTGGAATAATTTCACATTAAAAATGAGATAAAACTGAGTGAAGGAAAGATTTTGGCCAATACGTGGTAATATCTGTAATGTATAGGGTTATTGTAGTATTCATTGACAGATCTCTTAGGGACAAGATAGAAGCTCTTAAATTACTTGTGGAATGTTTATTAAAACTATCTCTGGGGGCGCCTGGGTGGCTTAGTTGGTTAAACGTCCAACTCTTGATTTTGGCTCAGGTCATGATCTTGAAGTTCCATGGGATTGAGCCCTGTGTCGGGCTCTGTGCTGGCAGCACGGAACCTGCTTGGGATTCTCTCTGTCTCTCTGTGTCTGTCGTCTGTCTGTCTGTCTCTCTCCCCCTCTCCCCCCCCCTCCTTCCCTCTCTCTCTGCCCCACCCGTGCTCACTTGCTCACTCTCTCAAATAAAGTAAACATTTTTTAAAAAACCAGAACACTTTATCTGTGGAATAGTTATTTTAAATGGGGACAGGGAAGGCAATGTAGCCATCAACTGTTTTTACGGGGATTAATCTGCCCTAAGTAATAACTTGTATTAACAGTGTGGATTCTATTGTAGGAAATTTTGGCCAATGACCTTGTCAATCCTTGGAGAGAGTAAAAAGGTATAGTAGATTTCAGTGTCCTCAGCAAATATGTTTTTCTTTGATGTGGGGTGTTCAAGATAGCAAAAAAATTCCATTTTACTTTGGTAGAATAGTACCCAAGCATGAGTTATTCACTGAAGAATTGTGCTGTGCCATTATTTTTTACTGTTACTGCAGAAGACAGCTTTCCTCTTTGATTTTCATAAATTCTCTTTTTGCAGGTTTTGCCAACCACAAAAGATGCTTGTTTTGCCTCAGCTGTAGAATGTCTACAGCAGATTAGGTAATCTCTCGTTTGCTGAAAATCACATAAATCAAAGTAGTAGTTAGTCTATTAAAATGTTAATGAGATCTTATCCTAACCTAAGCTCTAAGTGCTCCTTTCAGTCCTAGATGGTGTCACACTCAGCCTGGAGATCAGAAAAGGCTGTTTTGAGACATTTGGCTTACTTTTACTCTACAAGTCCCTTGTATTTTCAAAAAAGGTGGAGAGCCTACCCAGAAATGTATCTACATAATCACATCTTTAGCCAAATGGAAATTAACCAAACTTAATTACTCAGAGAAGAGCATATATTAGAAAAATAAGATCCTGGGTAAAAGGAGATAATCTATGACTTAGTGAATTCTTCCATAAGAACCATAGATCGTTGGAGGCTTCTTTTCTCAAAAAACTGTGGGATTACAGTGGTCATCCCTTCCAGCAACTCATTATGCCTGAAGTGTCCAATTTAAGGCACCCCAGGGGGGTATATTGTCAAACAATATTTAATATTAAGCAGTTCATAGGATTTTTTTTTTTTTTTTTTTTTTTTTAAATAACAACAGCACGACATTTACCCCGTCAGACAAACTTAAGGTCATCCAGCAGACTTTTGAAGAGATCTCTCAGAGTGTCCTGGCATCACTTCAGGAAGACTTTTTATGGTCCATGGATGACTTGTTTCCTGTTTTCTTATATGTGGTGCTACGGGCCAGGTGACCAACCTTTTCTGACTTTATTACAGTGACTCATTTTAACAAGTGCTTTTTCTGAATTGATGACAGTAATATGCTCCCCTACTAGGAAAAAAAAAATTCTGTTTACCCATTTCAGTATGGTGAGCTGTTCTTTATTTTCCCTCACATAGATTCAGAAGGAAGATATACATATAAATAGGAGTAACTCAGTATCTTTATCTTATTGGGCAGGATTAGGAATTTAGGCTCCGAGGTACACCTCATTGAGGATCTGATGGACCCGTATCTTCAGCATGGGGAACAGGGTATAATGTTCACCACCTTGAAGGTAAGTATAGGTGATATTTAATTTTTTTAATCTTAAAATCTGTCCTTAATTTGCCATATTATGTATCTATCATTAATCATTGTCTTCTTTATACAGAGGTTTAATGCAATCATTAAATGCCTTTAGAGTACATATTGTTAATATTTTAAAATATAATACATTAAAAGTAGAATCAGTTCTTCTTCAAAATACTAAAGCACATTACCCAATCTTCCCTATAAATTGACCATTCAAATCATTTCAAGTGCTTATAAAGGTAGACCATCTTTATAAATGTAACTCTAGAAAAGAAACAGAAAGGATTCTTAGTGTCCAAAAGTATCTGGCACTAGTTATTTAATGGAAATGAGGTAAAACACAGAAGGCAATATGTATGTAATGAATATGAATTGTATCTTCTTTTTTCTCCATGTATTTACTGTAACCAGTGTGTTACAAATGAGATTCTCTAGTAAGGGTAGTCTAGGGTTTGTTGGAAGTTATTTTAGTTCCCTACCTTGATTTTTCTTGGAATTTGGTAGAATAATTCTGTGTGTATATTGGAAGAACAACAAATTGAAAATGGCATAAACACTTCTGAAAAAAAGGATTAGACCCACTCTGCCAGTTAGTAAACTTTCATAAAAATACAATAATTAAGATAGTATGTTCCTGTTACAAGAATGGACATTACCTCTAATAGAAGGGATAGCTGTTGTAAAGGCAGTGTTATAATAAAAATTTCACATGTAAAAATGGAAACATCAGTACAAAAATAGAAAAGAAAGGAATTATTTAATAAATGCTTAAAGTACTGGGATAGCTTATTACCTGTTTTGGAGGGAGGGTAGAATCAGGCCAGAATCACCTGCATTGCAAACTATAGATGCTTTTTGATTTTTAAGCAAAAGGAAGAGAGAAGGAAAGACAGGCAAATTAAAATGAGAAAAAGAAATTAGAACTTAATGTCAGGTTTCTAGCTTGGGTTAATTGAACTTTTCAACTGAAATACCATTAACATTTCTATTAAATTGAAAAGGGGGGTGGAATTGGGGAAAATAGTGGCCACCAATGATTTACATTATTAGTATTCATGTTCTATGAAGAGCATTTCTCATATATCACCAAGGGACAAACAACTAGTATATTTATATGTAGGAATATCCTCGACCTCACTGAGAATCAGAGTACTGTAGATTTAAACAAGGTGCCATTTTGTGCCTACTAAATTAGCAAAGATGTTTTAAAATTATACCCAGTGCTAGTAGGGGTATAGCGAAATCAGAATTATTCCCATATTGCTGATAATAGATTAAATAATAATCACCTTTGGAAAACTTTTGTTACTAACATTGATATCAGCCACATCAAAAATGTTCTCTGAGTTTGAGTAAACGCACTCCTGGGGATTTATTCTGAGGAATTAAAGAATGGACAACATTGTGTTTGCTTTGGCTGAGGTGTTCTTTGTTGTGTGAGTAACTCCCAACCTGGATACTTTCAGAATCACCTGGGAATGCTTCTTAAAAAGTTGTTGCTGAAAATTGTGACTCACTGGGTCTGGAATGATACTTAACCTTAATTTGCAGTTTCTTAAACTTACTAGATGATTCTGATTACAGTTGTTTGTGTACCTTATATGATCAGCATATTCTAAATGTCTGATCAGTAGTGGCTTAGCCAATTAAGGTATTTCTACTCATTGAAGAATATTAAACAGCTTGTAAAAAGTTTGTTTTGAGAATTAGAAAGTGTGCAAAATTTTATCTCCACTAATTACAGCTAGGCAAAATAGACATTGGATATGGGGACTAGAAAACAGGGAAAAAGAAAGCAACCAACTGATTTGGTTGGAGCTATCAGTATTACACAAAGATTTCCTTTCTTTAGTCTCCTGTGCATTGCTATGTTTGTGTAATTTCTTTCCAAGTAAATTTTAAATTGTTTTGAACTTTTTTTCAGGCGTGTTACTACCAGATCCAGCGTGAGAAGCTTAACTAGGATGCAGAACAGCCTGACAACTGGATTATCTGTAGGGTGTTTAGCACCATCTGGCGTCTTCCTGTAGTGGCAAAAAAGAATGGTGTTGAAATTAGGACGTTGTATTATTTTGGTTGTTATCTCTGAGCCTTACTAATGGTGATAGCTCTGAGTCCAGAAAAAAGACTGTATGGTTTAAAGGGAGGAATGAAAAGGACATAGGATTCAATTAAACCAGTCCCTCGCCTATGTTAAATTCCCAAAATATCACACATTTACTGTTTGGAAAAAGAGGATATCCCTTCCTACAGTAAAGACTATGCCAGCTACATGAAGTCGTAAGAGAAGTTCTCAGTATAGCTTCTTACATTAAAGAAGTTAATAAATATTTTTGAGTTTCGGGTTGGCCTGCAGTTACCCCAGGCCCTTTTGCAAGGAGCAGATGGTACTTGAAACTATTGTAGCCACACTATGCCTTCCGGAATTCCTTGCAGTCACGTGTGCATCATGCTTCTTTGCTGAAGGAGGGGGAAGAGGACCTTCTAAAACTGCAGTTTTAACTTTTTCTAAGCTTTTCCACTAGGTAGTGTTCATGATGGGAGAGGTTCTATGCAGTGACTATCGCACCCTGACCCCAAACATGGAACACATCTAAATAGGAGTCTTCTGCCTCCTGATTAGGAAGAACATAGGAAATTTGTTCTTGGATTCCTTACAGTGCTACAGAGTGAATACACTGGAATTCAAACACTGACTCTGAGCTGCTATGGAACCTCATTTGTCCATGTGCAAATGCTGTATTCCGAGGCCTGTGAATGAGAGCCTGAAGAGCTTTTGCATGTGGGCTGTGTTTTGGAGCAGGACTAAATTCTGGGAAATAGCATCCATCCTTGATCTAGCATTCTTCCCTCTACCTCGCACTGAACTCACAGAGGGGAAGAAAAAAGGAAACAAGCTTTGGCTTTTCCCATCTCAAAAGTATTGTAACACCTCAACATTTTAGTGTTTTGCTTTTTACCTTTTTTTTTTTTTTTAATGTCCTATTGTAAATGGTTGGTTTACACTGTACTAGTAACACTAGTAGTTGTTTTGAATAACATAGGTGCTCTTCCTCATCTCATCTCCTACACACCATGGTGAGCATACAGAGTGTCCTCCAGATTTATGTTAACATCAGCAGATGTTAATCAGTTTTGAAAAAGGATCATGGTTTCTGCTCTACTTTATAATCAAGACGTGTTTATTAAAATACTGTTTTGGAATGTTGGCTGTAATGTAACAGCAATTTTCATAATAAAAGACATTCATCTCTATGAGGTTGTTTTATGATTGCAAAAGAAATAACACAGGGCATCCTAAAGAAAAATTTTTTTTTTTAGTTTATTTATTTTGAGAGAGAGAGAGAGAGAGAGAGAGAGAGAGAGAGAGCGCACCAGCAGGGGAGGGCCAAAAAGAGAGGGGGACAGAGGATCCGAAACAGGCTCTGTGCTGACAGCAGAGAGCCCAATCTGGGGCTCAAACTCACGATGAGATCATGACCTGAGCTGAATGAAGTCAAATGCTCAAGCAACTGAGCCACCCAGGCATCCCAGGGCAGCCTAAAAACTTAAACCCAGCCTTAGTTTTTGTTTGTTTTTTACCCAAGTTGTAATTCATGACTCTGTATTGGCTACAGAGGTCCTTCTGGGGTTTTAGAGATCTCTCTCTTTAAAATGAACGTAAATTTATAATTATGATAACCACTTTTGCTGACCACAAATTGACTTTCTGATCCTAATATCCCAAGCGCGGGGGTCTTAAATCTATTATTTCTTTGAATAAAAGGCATATTTTGATTCTCACTGGTTATTTTTTTTTTTTGTTTTTTTTCTCCTAAACAGATTCGGGTAAGGGAAGAGAAGATGTTTAAAATTCTGGTTGGAAACATTAGGCATTAGTTAGCCCACCTCCCAGTTGTAATGTCTTCTCAAGAAGCCTGTCCATGTCACCGCTGCTCTGTCTCAGAAGGTGGCTACCCATTATTGGAAAAGGACCAACACTTGATTATGTTAAGCACTTTGCATTTCCATTAGGGATTGTTTTGATTTTGGAATAAACACACAGATTCCACATTTGGTTCTTAAAGGCAAATCTGCTGAAGGCCTTGACCCCTTAAGAGAGAGAGAGACAAGGATAGTTGTAGAAATGAACGAAGACTTGAGACCCACTGAGAAATTCTCAAAATTATGGTAGACTGGCTCAATTCTAAGAAAAACATGTTTTAAATCATCCTTTTATTGGAGTTTTGAGTGACACTGGCCAGTTACTTCATACTGTATACCTTTTAGATAGCATATTTAAAACCATAAATTTTCAATTCTAAATCTCCAGGCCACCATTTCTAAATAGAAATACTAGCACTTGTGCAGCAATTTACAGATCTTTCACATGCGTGATGAATGCTCACAGCAGCCCTGTGAGGCAGGCATTAGCCCCGCTGATTTTGCAGACGAGGAGTGGCTGGGATTCACTCACTGCTAGAGCTGGGACTCTAGAACTTCCCTAACTTTAATTCCATGGCTCTTTCCTACTGCTGCTGCCAGAGATGGAATATCATAGCTTGGTTATGCATTAAAACATCATAAAGTAAAAAGTGAAAGTGAAAACTTAGGTGTGTAGGATAAAATATGGTATGCTCAAAACAGTCACAGATGTATCACATTCTCCGCTTGTATTTCCATCAACGGTGGAAAGCAAAGGGAAGCTACCCATTTAATTTCAAATAAAGGGACTGAAAAACCTCTGACAATGGCCATTTGGTCTTTATCCTCTGATGTCAGCAGTACACTTTCTTTCGGTTTTTTCTGGGATATCTGCTTCCCACCAACCCCTTGCTGCAATATAAAATTTTCAAATAAAGAAGTAACTCCAGTCTGAGATAGAGAATGGATAACTATTAAGTTCAGGACAGTCAGTTGGTAGGGAAACTTCCAGAAGGAACTACTTTTTTATAGGCCTCATTATTATTGGCTAAACAGTCTTCCATCATTTTCTAACCATAACATGAGAAATCAGGTTAAAGATCAGCTTACTCTTTGGTATCTCCACAGTTTTTTGTTTTTTTTTTTTTTTTTTTT